GAAAGATTTCTTTCTGAAAATTCCTAACAGGTTATCTCCAATAATTTAGAAGTAACTATTTGTTGACTCTTCATATCTCTGCTTGTTTTCACACAGGTTTCATGGCATCTTATCCAATATTAAAATTGCCAGCAAATAAAATTAGGACCAATAATACCTGAATATGATACAACTTATTACAAAAACATAAAAACACAAAATATATTCAAACACTTTACCTTTATCAGAATTATCTGAATCCTCTGAAGAAACCTCATCTACAAAGAAACAACATTTAAAAAATAATAAGCCTATCCTGGTTACGATATGCACATACGCGCACACCCTCCCCCCGCTTTAATTTACAGAAAGAAAGCAAACACTGAAGGAAAAGCTTTTTTTTTTTTTTTTTTGCATGAGTTCAAAGATCATCAGTTTGAGCTCAGCTTATCCAAGATCTGTGGTGTAAAAAGGTTATCTTGCATTAGCAGAAAGCTTTCAACCTCACAGCCTCAATGAATCATATACTTTAGAACTCTTTCTGGCATGCAATGTCCCAAGTCTTAGACCTCTTTTCCTTCCAATGCTCTATTTTTCAAAAGCCTTTCCAATTTCTGTAACCTGTAAAAAAAATGACTTTTTCTTTTCAATTTACCTTATTGAACACCTAAAAATTGTATCTAACTAAAAAAATTTCCACTTTTGACACAGTCCAGATACATTTCCATATCTACAACTACTGTAGAAATAGCAACCAACATATTTCTTTGAATATTTTCAAAATTGAAAGTTTAAAGTTTAAATTTACCTTTATGGGTCTTTTTCTTCGACTTGGATTTTTTTGAAGAAGATAACTTTCTCTTCTTAAATTTTGGTTCATCAGAGTTTAATAGAGCTGTGTCTCTTTTCTTCTTTGATTTGATTTCTTTCCTCCTTCAAAAATGAATATTAATCTTCTTTATTACATGTACTCCTCAATCAACAGTAAACCTTAGCTATCTAATACAGTCAAACAGTTGTCATTCTTTATGAAAATTATTAATAGTTAAAAAATGCAGTTAAAAATGAAAGTGTTGTAAAAACACTTCAGCTGTATAGTTGAAGACAAAGGTCAGGACATGCTAAACCTGCCAAAGTGACATTGAATTAGCAATCAAAGATTAAACACAAAAAAAATACTACACTATGTGCACACTTTATACTGATACAGACAGGTAACTAATTTTTTTTATATAGCAAGTTTTGGGCACATGTAATAACAAAAATGCAGTAAATACTATTTCTTTTCTATTTTCTAACCTAGTAAAACCTGAGGTACAAGAATCTTAAGCCCAAGAACTACCGCAGATCAACAACCCATGCATTTTATCTTCGGTATTATTGATGTTATGTATATGGGCTTATTGTGTAACAATAACCTTTTTTTTTTTTTTTTAATTTTTTCTTTTTAAAACAGCTTGTTTGGCCAAAACAAGCCAAAACAAGAAAAGTTGTTTTAAACGAAGTATTACTCTGAATAGAAAATATGTTTTACCATTCTTACTCAGAATTAAAGTGGTTTTAAAATGTGAGTTCCAGAAAGAACCCAAATTAAACTAACTTCAATTATTGCTTTCTCCTTCTTAATTCTAAATATACATTTACATGGGACTTTAATTAAATCTAATTACAACTAACTTTAAAAATAGATTAATTAATGTTCTTGAACACAACCACATAGAAACAGAAATAGTAGCTTTCTATCTGAGAGCTTTCCCTGTACTGGGCTTCTCAGATACTACAGCAAAGGACACAACTACAAGCAGCCAAAACAGCATCAAGATCCAGAATACCATACAAGCTGCGTATCAGTAGTTTGATAGTAATATTAGAGCCAGTAAATCAAACAATGTATACATTTTATGGGTTCAAAGTTCACTATTTTACTTTTCCTTATTAATGAGTGATTCTCAAGAACAAACACTCAAATTCAAAGTTTCAAAGCACTACGACATGAGTCACAGATAAAAATAGTACTGTTGGAGGAGGAAAAGAAAAATATTTCCAGCTCTTAAACACAGCAAAAGGGAAAACAGAAAAATAAAGCATTTTGCATATACTTCCAGAAAACAAGAATAATCAATGGGTTAAAACCAAGATAAGAAAACTTTGAGGGAAGGATTTTTATAGTTCTTTTAGTTTTATGGACTTTCCTTAGAGCAAAAATATCTGCCACAGAAGTACATCAAAACAGTGACTTCATAAGAACTCCAGGACAGAAATTTTCTAATCATCTGTTTTTTTTCTCTCCTTATTTTTCAGGTAAGCATAACTGGCACTTATCAATAATTCAGTCCCCATACTTTCAAAATATTGCATTACCGGTGATGGAAGTTAAGTTTTTTTGAACATTCTGGACACAGTCCTGAAAAAGAACAAGAACATTACATTTGTGTTGTGACATTGTGTATTTGATAAGCAGAATTAACAAAATCCGTTAATAAATCTATAAAACTAGATACAACATTTTCTTCAGATTTTATTAACTTTTCCTCCAACACAATTTACATTATGATCATAGCTAGGGATAAAAAAAAAAACACAATCAAAGTCTTCAGTACAAATCTAAAGTTTAGTAAATTTGGATGAAAATCACAGGTTTATCTCTGGCAATTCTTCATAAAAAAAACTATCAGTGTTTATCATGCACATAGCACATTTTCATGGATGTCTGTTAAAAGATCGAATTGTTTTACAATTGCACAGAAGACCTTGAGTCCCTTAGAGTTTCTACAAACAACAAATGCTGCCAAACAGAGTGGGTTTTTGCAGACAAAAGGAAAAATGACATTAGTTCCTTTTATGCAACACATATGTACATTGTGATATGGTTAAATGAACATATCAACAAGGAGAGCTTACTTAAGAAATGAAAATGGAAAAGAAATTAATTTAAAGTTAGAAGTTTTGGAAAAAAATGCAAGTACTCAAGAAACTAATTGAGCTGAAAGAGTAAAAAAAAAAAAAAAAGTTGTCTGTTTGAAAGCCCTAAGAACTCCTAAAAGCTTGTTAGGCAATGGCAGTGATGAAATTCACCATGCAATTCAATATTGTCCATTAAAAAACAATGAGCTTATTTATATAGTAGCTTATAACTAGATATTCTAATTGTCTTACATGAAAATGATACAACATGACATGCTCAACCTTTAACAACTTTGTCACATGTAACGATAGCAGCCATTCTCACCAAACCATCATACCACCGGTGATTAGCGTAACAAAATGATCTCCTACACAGCAGCTTATTTTCCCCCCTGCAGATACTAGCAACATTATCAGCAAGTCCCCCACTATACCTTTTAACGTGCAAGGCATATATGTTTGTTTAAGTTTACATATTCTTGAACGCCAGCATAAGAAGGGCTGACTTACTCAATTTCACAAGGGCATTCCTCTTTTCACCATGCTCGACGTAACCAAAATTCACCTCCCAGCTCTTCAGGCCTTCTTTCTCATCACAGTGCTTACTTCCACAGGAAAACTGACCTTTAAAGAGGTCAAAAAAAGCAAACGAAGGTTCAATGATTAACATGCATAGGTTTGGGGTTGTAATTTTCTGTTTTGTTCAGTCTTTGTGTTTTTGATTTCCGTTTTTTTCAAAGAAAAAGGCTCCAGAGCTAAAAAAAAAAAATACAATTAACGAACTAGTAAGAGCTATAAAAAGCAATCAATCGTACTTGTCTTGTATTGAATACTGTCAAAGAAAGAACATAACTTGAAATTTATTTTACATTATTCTAAGAGATGGAAGATGTTCAGAAAAAAAGAAGTAATACTTAACTTTGGAAAAAACATCTACTTAATAATCACATTTGATGTTATATGGGTATTTTCTATATCCCGAATGATTACCTGCTTTATTAGAGGGTGATAGATCAGAAAGTACAATTGAGACATACATCTTTAACATGATCAAACTATTCAAAGTACAATATATATATAAAACTAAGATGTCCATATTCTGATTACAAGTCTACCTCAATGACCGGGCAAGCTATTTGTATTCTAGTGACTTTCAGAAGCACTTTTTTTTTTCCTTTAAGAAAGGAAAAATTCTAAAAACGAAGAAAAAAAAAAGCTATTTTATGAGAAAATATGCAGCAGCTTCAGAATCTTCTAGATGTCCATTATATTAAACACAATATTATATTTAAAATAATTTACACATAATGTATGTTGTTTACACAGCTGGGTCCCCAGTATTGCAGTTAATAGAAACATGTATTTCCTCTGCAGAGGGCAGGTATGTATGCAGAGCTGGTGGAACGGCTCTGCATTAATAGGCTCACAAGCAGGACTGTTTGTGAAAGATTAACCTCAGAACATTCTGTTTAAGCTGCTAACCACTGGATTGGCAGTGTCCTTAGATACTTCAGTTCTGCAATGCAAAAAGTACTTGCAGTACTAACACTTGAACCAATAAAAAAAATCAAATGAATATGCATTAAATTTGGTAACCCTATGTAAGATGAAATGTTATCAGTGATACAGAAGAAAAACTATAAAGAGAAATCTATCCCCATATAAGGCTTTCAGGTAGTTAACTACTCTGTTAATATCATGTCTTCTAAAAAAAAATTCCAAAACAAATCAAGAAAGAGTCACAGAGAAAAAAAATTGACATAGCAGATTTATTTATTATTAGCTGCTCTTTACAGGATACAGAACCACTTGTGGATATTCTGCTTTTTGTGTGGGATATTTTGCATTTGGCCTGTGAGAATGGACAAGAATGAAGTCAGAAGAGTATCTTCGGATTGCTAAGTCATGCAATGAACTGATGAGTAAATTAGGGCTTACACTGCGCACATCACCATAATTCTGTCCCCTTATATGCTTGCTCATATTTCTAAATTACTTAGAATTATAAGTATTTGATTTTTTTTTCTTCTCAATAGTCCGTTATTCCACACTGTATTTTAAATAGCTTACAGCTTCCCACTTTAAGGATTTATTTTCAGGGCAGCTAACTCACGTACCTACTATTTACTGATTTAGAAACTTTAAAATAAGGATTCTGTGTTAACTTAAGTTTACAAATAACCATTTTGTGGAACCCTTTATGGAAGGTGGACACATATATTACACTATTAATAGTCATTAGGATTATACTTTATATGTAATAATATATAGTAGTGATCTTCAATATGACCTTCTTTCAGAGCACTTATGAAAAAGGATTGGAGAAAGAAGGGAATAAAAAAAAAAATCTGACATTTAAAATTAGCAATTCGGTAAGATTCCTTTCACTCAACCGAACGCTTTTCCTCCCTCGTCACCTAGCAAAGACATGAAAAAGAAAGCAACCAAATGTCAGCAACCCATCCCTTCTCTTTCATCCTTAACATACCCCAAAGGATAATACAACTGGTTCTCACCCCTATTGTTTTCACCACTTAAACATGGCACACGCTACGTTAATGCTCTCCTTTTTTAAACATGAATTATCGAACACTGATAGCCCAACAAGGTTACTTTACTATAGTTGATTATAAACAGTTTGTGTTACTGAGTCATAGTTGAAAAAAATTTTTTAAAAAGTGTTAAGGACTCCATTTTTCCCAAACGACCACTTCAAAGTACATTTGAAAACACCCAAGACAACACTAGGTAACACTGAATTCTTGCGCCCCTTAGTGGTGAATGGCGCAATTTCTCAACTCCTAGGTTCTAGCTCTAAAACAAGCTTTACACTTGCCATTTGAATGCTTTCCATTACATGCTTAAGGCAGGTAATTCTGCACTTTCTCCCATGTTTTTAAATAAGGACTAGCACATGGTAAAAGTATAACACAGCTTCAAATTCCTCCCTAATAATTCTTCATAAATTATTAATTTCTCATTTCATTTTAGTTATCTTTTTGAAGTGTTGGATAAAGCACATAACCACATTCAAGTTAGCTGTTAAAATAATTCTTAGTGCTGAAAGCAACATATGACTGCAATTAATGTGATCTTAGGTGGTTTACACAGAATTTATAGTTTTTTAAAAAATCACAAATGTTCACACTTCTCCCCATGAAATGTGATCAAAAATTATAAAAAAATAAGCGTTATATTTCTAAGTTCTTGCAGTATGTCATAATACAGAGAGCTATTTACAGAACTATATTGATCCATGCTATTACTCCATTCAATTTTCTTGTATGTGCACTCATGACTTCTGAAAATAGGACATGGATACGAATACTGCACTTCCAGCAATAGCAATATTTTCACATAACTTTCTTGCCTTGAAAAAGTCCATGCCCCTAGCCATGGAATGGGACTCCAATAAAAGATTTATAAGAATTTGAATGCAGAAAAAGTGAGAATGAGCTACTGCATTAGAAACAGGTTTAGGAGGCATGGCCAGCATTTTCATGGAAGCTTTCAAAAATGCCTGAAACACATCACATATGGAACTTCGATTAGAAAGTAACACATTTGCAAAACAACATGAGAAAAACTGTTAAGAAAATGATCTTCTAAAGAAAAAGTATTGGCACATGAAAGATAACAAAACAATAGGGTAATGGAGAACTACTGAATGGAAGCAGCCAAAAGGCACATCCATGAAATTCTACATTAGCAAATACAGCATCACAGTGTTCACTACAAATTAGAGCTTATGAAAACAAAACATGTGCTCCCTTCATTTTTACTTACATACGTCATCATATGCACTGAAGATACATGGCATAAACCAGAGCTAAGACTTAGGTCACTTCACTGCCCAATGTCCGATACATTTACCAATATCAAGAATTGCCCAACACTATCAAACAATTATTATTTCAAAAAGCATTGAGAAACACAACAGTCAAGGAGAAATGTAATATAAAATGAAAGACATCATTACCTTTTCCTGAAACTACTTCTTCCTCATGTCGCCATCTAAATCCAAACTGATTTAAAAAAAAAAAAAGTGAATAGTCAAATGTGAATGTAACGATTAATTTTAGTCAACTACGGTCCTGCACATATGTTCATCTATTCAATTCTAAGTAGTAAAATTTAATTCTCCTCCTCATTAATTAGAAGTATGCCTGATTCTGGCTGTCAGACGGATTCCAATTTACTCCTGCAATTCAAATTCCAGAAGATACTGATCAGTACCCAATTAAAAACACTCTGAAAGCTTTCAGAGATGGCAGAGAGACTTGAGTCAACTTCAGAGGGACCGACTACATTAGATCCTTCTTCGTAACTGTCCAAGCTGAAAAAACAAAATCACTAGAACACTGAAAAGGCAAACAACTAAAGGCAAATTTCAGTGCCCCACCTTTCATAACTTAAAGACTAAAAATAAATACACCCTCCCCGCCGTTCAGCTGTGTTTCTCTTTACAGTGCCTAGAAACTCCACATAAAGATAACCCATCTACTATTTTTGTTCTGCAATAGAGTCTTCTTCATCCTCTCAAATGGCAAGTAAAGCCTCATGGAAAGATCAAAGAGAGAATGGAGCAAGAACTGCCTGGGAGGAATAATTTTCATTAGCAACTACAAAGAGGGAATAAAAGTTAGTGGCATGCAATTTGTTCTAAAGGGATATCTTGTAATTTCCTTTAAAATTCAGAAATACTGCATGACAACAAGATAAAATGGAATGTTGCTCTGTGAGCACAGCACATATAATCCAAAATTTCATGTCAAAAGAAGGAAAAGAAAGGGTTCTGAGTTCATAGAAGCACATCACTTGGATAATGAAGTTTCTACTTGGGCATCTAAAGACTGAACTTACACAAAAGTGTGTTTTATAGGCTTGGCATCGTAAATTCTATAATGTATAGGATTTATCTGAATTGTTCTTAATCTAATTTTAAGTATTCCATAGAAGCACAGGTATCTGTTGCTATGTATCATCTTTACTGTTGTTGATTTTTGTAATAAACCATAATAATTCGGTATCTGAAAGGCAACAGTATGAGAAAAAACAGTAGGCAGTTTAAAGAACATAGGGAAAAATCGGGGACCAAAAGCTTAGTCTCTTAAAAATATGCCACAAACTCAAGTAAATTCTCTGCACCTTAAAAACTACAATTCAAAAACCAAGCAAGAAGAGGTCAGTGGCCAAAAGTTTTCTCTGCCCTGCGTTTCCCCAAATCAAAATATCACCTAGAAGATGTCTAAGAAAATTAAAAATCTGAGCATCAGTAACCAGTAATATTTGCCTTTTGATACCAATTTTAGAATTGGAGATGTAATATACACTATATTTTTGTACTCATGGGCTTAAATGGTTAAAAAAATTTTGAGAGATCATGTTCTATAGCACGCTATACACAAATTGCTAAAGCAGGAACAGCTTGTGCTTAGCCTATTCTACAATCTGTAGTGTGGTATAAAAAAGTACCATTTTAACCACTCATGTCAAAGAAAAATTTAAACAATTGTAAAAAACAAGAGCTGTGCTTAACAGCTCACTGGAAACAGAACGTAAAATATACTCATAAAAGTAAGATTCATAAAGAAATCCAGATTTCACATTTTTTTCAGGCTGTTTTTGTAAATAACCCTCCCCAAATTTAACAATCCTCCACAATTATTTAACCCAGGTTTGAAGTACATTTCCCAATTCTAAATAGTAGCAAGGCAGTCCAATTACAATTACAACTCTGTCGTGGGTCTACTTGCATCATAAAAAGATCACCAAGAAGATTCATCATGCTTAGCAATTGAATAAAAATTGTGTCATCGGGGACATGCAGATCTCACTGACTTCACTAAGTCTCCTTCAAAACAAAACAGAAAAACAGGAATACAAGCTTTGATTTGAACTCTACTTTGTACCTTTTAAATTTAGAATGGTATGGGCTTGCAAAGCTGCTGTAGAAATTTCTGCTAACAGTTTCTGGATGTATTTTATTACTTCATAACGTCATGTTCCAAGTGATTTGTGCAGTAATTAAACTGCACAAGTTTAACTCACCTCTTCCTAGCAGTTCAGCTGAAGCATGGAAGCTCAACTAGTCTCTCTCACTGAGCTGCACATTATTATCCTTTGGATACACAGCAGTAATATAATATCACCATCCATTTTTCACTTGCCATATTGCCTAAGTACAGCAAGTCTGGAAATCCAGAGAAAAAGGAACAGAAAAGAGGGAGCCAGACCACCTATGGTGTTCTTTACAACAAGACCCATTTACAAGTTGGACAAAAGCTGTCCTTGCGTGCAATTCCCTTTTGAAAATCATTCATCCAAACATTCCAGTGGAAAGTGACAAAGAGTGACAAAGACTAAGAAAAGGCCAAAAAAGAAATCCTCTAAGCAAGCTGCAATACTAGGAACTGCAGCTGAAAATACATAGGAAAATTAACGATGACTGCAGGTTTCTGAAGTCAGCCAGCAAAATAAAGAAAATCAGAAGCAAAATCTGCAAAAGAAAACTATCTGTCTCATCATCTTTGATCTCAACAAGATCCTAAAGAGTCCTTTACTATAAAGCAAAATGCACAATAAAATTAAACTGTGTGGTCACTTATCAGTCTCAGAGCTTGCAAGCAGATACACAAAGGTTCAAATAGAACCTTTAGCTAAAAGAACTCTTGTTTAGGGAAAATGCAAGGAACAACAGAGGAATGGCAGGAAAGAGCTATAGGACACTATAGACACTACAGTGTCTCTCACTATTGACACTTCCCATGTCTATAGGGACAATTAGCCTCATATTAGAGGACCTCCTTGGCACTGCTACATAAGAGAAATAAAGATTACATGCTCTACCTATGCAAAGAAGAAAACACCTAACCTTCTATCTGCAAGGATCCTTGTCCATGAAGCCTAACTGTGACAGTGGAACCATTTAAGAAAAGTCAAACTAACCAAAGACCTGGGTGTTCAGCCATCCCTCTGTCAGGGACGTTTCTTTACTCAGTGCACCTTCATGGTCTGAAGGAAAGGCCCAGTTTGTCAGGAATGGCAAAAATCTTCATGACTTCATGAAAAATAATCTTTTGCTTATGAACTTGTGTTAGGATTGCAGGTGTGTCATTTTAAGGCTATCATCGACTTTACAGAGCCACATGCAGCAGGTTTATGTTTTCTTTTGAGCTTTGATCTTTGAAAAAGCTCAAAGAGAAAGATGACCTTGAGAAGGTCCCTACCGTGAAAATGATACTTACTATTCCATGATGAGGAAAACTGTGTTCTCAGAAGAAAAGTTACAAATGAGATTACAGTTGCAATTTCTGTGCAGGGGTCTGCAGAAGAATTAGCTGGCTAAAGAATTTTAGCCCATCTCAAAATAACTACAAGTTCTGAAAAGACAGTGAATATGCATGTGCAAATCTTAATGTAGGCAACATAAAAACAAAAACAAAACTCCAACTTTATTTAGACATACACCTAAGAGGATATAGAGCATGATAGACCATAACATAAAAGGCTGAGAAACCTGCTCCTCTCATAACATCAGCACTCCAAAATAGAAGGCATGTCAGGCTACAGATATCCTATTTACACTTTCTGGAAATACAGAGAAAGAATCAAGGCAGAATCAACCTGAAATCACATGCTGCATCCCATTGGTGTGAATGGAAACTGATTAACAGCCCATTTCTGACTTCCATCTCTCTGTGTCAGTATTGAGGAAGACCTGGAGAAAACACTCTTACATGGTTATACTACCTATGAGGACAGAAAGCACGGCCTAATGTAAGAAAATAAATTGAATACAATGTATCAGAGTTCTGCTGAAACTGAAATTTAAAAAAAAATGAGTTAACAAGACTAATTCTTACTAGTACAAATAGAAATTCAGTGTGACCTCACAAAGCTGGGGCAGTCGCATTTGAGTCTGCAAGGGAAATACTGTTCACACAATAAAGGAAAAAAGAGAAAACTGGGACAGAAGTTTCCCACCAGAGATAGCAAATATATGGAAACTTGGTACAGTAACAGAAGAAACAAAACATTTAATAAAACTCAAGGGAAACTCAGTTATTTTTGAGGCAGAGAGGGGATGAGGGAGGAGAATACATATTCAGCTTTTTACTTCTTAATTTTCTTTAGAAGGATGACATCTTTTCAACTCAATATTAGAGTTTCAGCCCAGTCCTTGCAAATACTTAGCAGTGAATACCATTTTCAACACTACAAAGAATCTCAAAGCACATTATAAAGACACTGTTTGCAGGCCTGTTTGTTACTACGTAGTTACAAAACACTAATCAATGTTTGTGTTCAACAATATTCTTTACAAAAAATCATAATACAAAATTAATCTAGTCATTTTGACTAAGAGGTTAGCTTGTCAAAAAGTCAGAAAGAAAAACCGAAACTGTTTCAGTTAAGAAGAAAAATTTCTGGTGGAATTAGGCTGTTTTTCCGATAAATTCTACTTACCTAAAACGAATGTACAAATCTTATTTCCATAAACAAAAGAGAAAAACCAGCACGGGACACTGCTTTTAAGCATGCATTTTCATTTTTTTTTTTAGCCAGCAATCAAATAGCAAACTTTTTTTTAGACTTTTTGTTTTGAAAACAACAGCATTACCAGCTTCTTAGGCTTCATCTAGTGCTTCCCTGTAGGCGAATCCCTCTAGCCCTCTCTGCCTAATCTCTGCCATTCTTATATACAATATATCTCTTCATAAAATATCACAAGACAGAAATGTTTGTATTCCCACGCAAGTACATTTTGGGCCTGTGACAATGCTTGGATTCAAACCTACTACTGCTTATTAAATAACTTTACAGTTTCTCACAACTCTCTTACTAGCAAATAGCCTACTAACAGTCTGACTTCAAAACACACTGTCATAGGAAGGCATTTTTAAAGCAGATGTCTGCACTGTAAAGTATGTCAGCACATACTTTTAAAACCAAGGTAATTTACAATATTGAATGTACCTTATTCTCTTTGTATCTCCTAAGATCTGCTATACAGTATTCTTTGAATAATTTATCATAATACTTCTTCGCAAGCCTCTTCTCCCTGTAACAAAAGGCATTATTTTTATTAAATACATAACACAATTCTTTTTACATTGCAATGGCATTAGCAAGACAAGGACACATTCCGTCTGAGCAACACAGGTTGCAGAGCTAGAAACGCAACTGAAATGCACTCAGTGAGCTAAGGTGCAATGACCACAGAAATGAAAAACAGTTCAGAAGTATACCTACACCACAAAATTAACCACACTTTTTTCATTTCTTCACAGTTTTCGGAACAATTGATTGACTCTCGGAGAATGCACAAATATTTGTTAGCTCTTTCTGTCACCAACTGAATTTATTACAGAGTGGTATTACTCTACCTACTAAAGGTCTTTCGTTTCTAAATGTATGAAAGATCAAAGAACAAACACCAAGTATGCATAGTAATTCTTAATAAGGACACCACAAATTTAGTACAAAGTGATCTAAAAATAGCATCTTAAAAAAGTTCTAGTTACCAGTTCATGTCTACTTCATCATCTTCTCTCCACAGGAATCTATGGTTTTCTCTTATAACATCAAGATCCGTCTTGTCATTTGCACTATAAAAGGGCACTTTTTTAGCACAATACAACATTAAAATGAAAAGTCAGTCACACAATAATCTGGCAAACATCTCTATTTCATATTTGCTATCGCCAGCTTGTTGCCTAACAAAATATACTGCTATTGAATAAAAATTATTCAAAAATATATTGCAGCTTGGCATACCTTTTCCAAAAAGGAAAAAAAAAAAAAAAAGAAAATCACAGTAAAGTTTCAGCCTTGAAACTGTGACTGACTTGATCCTGTCTGAAAATACTTTTTAAGGAAACAGTTTCATTAGCAGGCAGCTATGTAGAGTTCTGAAGAAGATTGTTATTCTGGACAAAGGAGAGTTATTTTGCACATTTCATAATTATTCCAGACTGATATTTTCAAGGTACTGCCAGAAATTTCTCAATGTACCTTCATAAAAATTAATGTTCACCTGTCATCTTTCCTCTTACATAACAAAACAAGAAATACTCAGCTCATGGAAAGTTGTTATATAAAAATGATGGTGCAAAATGAAACATGACTGTTAACAATTCTACTTTGGATAATTACCCCTTGTGACCAAAAGCATATACTGCTTTATACATACACTCCCCCCCCAAAAAAAAAAAAAAAAAAACCCTTAAATTACAGCATGTATTTAACGGCTTTAAGTAACAGGAAAGTATGGGGGCAGTGAAGGGAAACTTCCTAATAGTCCTTACGTGGAACGCCGGAAATCTTCCATTTTGCCACCGTAGTACAAAATGTAGTCACTCACAAACTTTTTATGTCTTTCATACTGAATCAAGTAATTAAGGATTCCATCTCAGTGCTTATTTTTCCAAAAGTTTAAAACTATGAGAACAATAAAAAACACTTATAACTATAAAAATAAATTAAAATAAATACCTTTTTTCCTCAAAACTATTCGGTAGTTTCCAAAAAGAAATGAATAAATCAAAAATTTTCACTTTATAATCTCTTATAAAGGAAGCATTCAAAATACAAGAATTCAAGGCAATTTAATCTTTAAAGCCTTGTTCACCTGCAAGACACTTACAGTCCCATATTTTTAAAGAAGCTCTCTAAGCATAAACATGGAAGCTGGGTTCAATTCTTCTGCTGTAATTTAGAATAGCACTTCTTAGTGCTTACGTTTAGGTTTCAAATAGGTTTGTACTTTTGTATTATAAAACAGGCTACCAAAATCAAATAATTTATTATTCTTTAGCATTAACATAAAAATTAAAGTTATCTGCTTTAGTTTGATTCTAGATCTGAAAATCACAGGAATCACTTTTCTAAGAACACTTGGGCCTCAGAGACATGATTCCAAACATATTTTTTACCATAATAGGGTCAAACATATTTAACTATCTTGTTGAAAAATAAACAACCTCACATATAAAATAACATATATATGATTATTTTCAAGCATTTTTAATTAACTTATGGCGTTTTTGAAACAACAAATCAGGAAACGCGTTATCTCCTAGGACATAACCAGCCAACTATAATGTCAGTGTGAAAAAGGGTAATTTGTATCAGCCTACTATTTTGACATGAATTATAATAATTTTATTGAGAAAGCATTTTTCAAAGAAAATTTTAATTTAACCTCAGTATGTATTTTCTCTTTTTTTTTCCACTATAAATAGAAGAAATAGAATGGACAATTGTGAAGCACGCCCAGGAGGTAGAGTTGGCACAATTAAACACACTGCATGCAGCATACTATTTTGTATTTCCATTAGAATTATTAAACGCCATAACTATAAAGGTCTTAAAGAGGAACCACTCAAAAACATTAGGAGAAACTCATAAAAAGACTCTATACAATGAGTTTTCTAGTCACTCCAGAACATATACGCTTTTCAATGGCTAATGATAGTCTACAATCTCAGTGGGATTGATTAAGACACATCCCTTTTACAGGCACAAGAAGGCATATGTAGCTGCTGAACAAATTCAAATGCTGGTTTGAAGGAGTTATTTTCTGAATTTCCAGTTAAAGTAATTCTTTCCATATTTAATTTATTATTTTCTTTCCTCTTTAGTAACTTTTACAGCTGAAGAACAGCTGTTTAAACAAACAAGGAACTGGCAATACTTTGCATAGACTCAGTTAAAACACGTTGTAGGTGAAAACTAAATAAAAAGATAAATTTTGTAAACTAAATGAAGCAGTAGTTATAAAAATAGCTACAATGATGCATGAAGTACGATTAAGAGGTTCAAAAAGGAAGAACTAAAACACAACTAAACATGATACAACAGAGGCTTACACTAAAGCATTTGTAGAAGATATTGGAGATAATACTGTTTTAAATAGTCTTTTGAATTGATTAATGTGTTTCTGTATTTCAAGTGCAAATTTATTTATCCAAAGATAACAGCCTTATACAGCATTACAATTTATGAACACTCAAATGAAAAGCACTCAAAGGTTGGCACTCTTTGTGCCAGTCTAAGCAAATGGACTGTATAATGACTTAGTCCAGAACAAGATAACTGAGCAAAGAGGGGAGTCTGGAAACGCCTCCTCTAGGTAGATCTCAGGAGTAACAAGTTATTTTGAAGAAATATCTTCTCAGTATTTGATGCCACACTACAAATTTCTGTTATAACTGAGAAATCTGAAATACTTTCCTTTACAGAAATATCACATCAAAGTGGAAAAACTGTTTCCAATCTCAAACTTGAAGAAAATTAAATAGAAGGATACAGCATCCATAGATATCAAGTGAAATCTTCTTTTTCTTGCTTCTTCCCTGTTAATGACAAATATGTTTGAACAAAAGATGACTTCACAGCATGGTAAAAAGTCTCACAAGAACAGTAATAAAACATACCTATCCCATTCTTGAGCTGCGACTTGACTGTGAGCAACATGGCTTTGTCTTGGTTTTTGGAATGGCTTTATCAGAAGGTCATCTTTTACACTGAACATAGGCAGAAGAACAGGGAGAAATAAGTTAGTTGAGAACTTTTCCTAAGCAGTACAACTTCCGTATGCCAAGGCTTGCATAACTTGAACAGCAGTAACTTATACGTTACTTGTTACGTGAATTAAAAAAAAAAAAAAAAAAAAAAAAACTCAGAATCATCAGGTTCAATTTTACTTGATTTGCAGGACAACTCCAGAAAGGCACTTGCTTACAGTCAACATTTAGGGAAAAAAACGAGAACAACAACAAAAAAAAACTTATAGTAACACCTCTTGATTTTTATAAACATTATTATTCAAGAACCACACTAAACATTTTCTTCAACTTCACTCTACTTTTAGAGCCACCTGCAAGTCTAGGTTGCCTGCCTAGCCAAGTCAAAAAAAGGAAGGACAGCCAAGTCAAAAAAAGGAAGGACATAGAAAAAGAGAGATTGTTAATAGTCATATCCCATCCTTTCATGATAAAAATTTCTTGACACTTCATTAACCAAAGTCACTTTTCTTTGTGCAGTCACGAGAACTGCTAATTTAATACTGATTTAAATAGTGTCTTGTGAACAGTATTTGTCATTTAGCAGCTAAAAATACTTCCAGAATTTGACATATTAATGAAAAGTTAAATACAAAGTGAGGCACCTTAACTAGCCAGAGGTATACTTAGTTTCAGTCATTGTAAGAGGTGAAGAAGAGTTTTCCATAATTACTAGCTGACAGAAAGATAAGAAGTCAGAAACCAGTATAAAGCAAGCCAGGGAATTTATATTTCAATCTATGGAATATGGGATACTAGAAACTAAGCATAAAGTACGCTCAAAAGGATCAGTAGAAACAAAAATCCCCAAAGGAGATGCTGTAAAACAGTAACATGCAGAGAACTGAAGACTACTCTTTCCTTTTAAAGCAAAAACAATAAATGGAACAGCACAATGCCTTCTATTATCCCAGCGATTACAAATTTGAAGATTTTGCCCCAGAATGCATCCAGACAGTACAAAACCCATTCTTTCAATTCCACTACTGACTGAAGTATGCAAGTGTCCTAGGCAAGTTTCCAGAAAGCCTTCTTGAATAAAGTCCAATAACAGAGCAAGAAAGACAGAAAAAGGTAGGAAAAAACAGATTTGTACCATCTAGATTGGTATCATGCATAAAGTAGTAAAAGTGCACAAAAATACACACTTTAAAAAATACTAACAACAGAATGTGGTCAGATTACAAAAAAAAGGCCATTAATTGTGCAAAACATTGAAATAAGAGTTTCAAATAAGAAATGTGCAGTTAAATTCCAATGAAGGAGTACAACTTCCCCAGTAGAATTTCCAGATTTCTTCATAAATTAAATAATAAACATGCAATATCAGTTCTTCTTTTTCTTCAGGCAGGTGTTTTATGTCTACAAAGCCTGCTGCCACTTGGCCCCTTTTTCCTTTGCTTCCTGTTAGCAGTTCCACACATCCTGACACATTCGAGTAAAGTGAACAGAGCAGACAAACCCCAGCAGTTGATGTACATGCTTGGAAAAATGAAGCGGTCTGCTGTGTGAACTAAAAGGCATACACACAGCAGATGCACACAGCACAACTGATGCTACTCAGCTGTCCCTTGGAGATATGCTGTAGCAAACATGATATAAGGAAATGCAGGAAGCAAACAGGTTCATTTTTCATAAACATTTTCAACATCAGTTAACATACTCAGCATAGTCTTCTATACTAGAGGCCCTTTGCATGGAATACATAACCTGAAGTGTAAACTCTGTGTCACATTACCTTCTAGTCTTCTGCACAGATTTTTCTCCACTTTCCTCATCACTAAAATCAGAATCATAGTCTCCACGGCCTTTTACCTGAAAACAATAACAGATAATGCAATCAATATATCTGCTAAAGTAATATAGACAAAACTTAACCGGAAATCAGTATTGTGCATCCTCCACAAGCAAGAGCAAGAGCAAATACTTTCAAATGTCCAAACAAGATGCAACGAACAATGCTGAGTTATTTTCCAAATACCGCATGTCAAAGGAATAGTGGTTTTTCATAGGCTTTGTCAAAAAAAAGCCTTATAAATAATATATATACAGATATTTCCATATTTAATCTTCATGTAAATGCAGATAACTGAAAGATAGATAAAGTCTTTGGCCTTTCTTTTCAAGCAATCACCCTTACACAGGAAAAAAGGTGAGTATTTTCCCCTAGGAGCTGTTCCTTCAGGGGTCTAGAAGACAGCAAGTGATGTGCCTATGTTAAAAAAAGCTGAGAAAAAATGTTTAGCGGGCTGTGGTACAGCATTCTAACTCACTAGATCTTACATTAGCAAGATCTGGCAATCAGGTTGACATGATCATCAAAATGAAAAACAACAAGATTTCTGGGGAAAAAAAAAAGAATATAAGGTTTAATCAGCACTATTTTTGCAAAGAACATTCATACCAAGAAATAAAATATTTTATTCCACGTGCTTTGGGACTACAATGTCAACCTAATGGATATAAAAACAAAAACACAAACCAAAAAATGCGTAGCTCAATGTTACCAATTATCAAGCATCAAGATGATGATCCATCACCTCTGTTTTCCAGGGCATAGCTACATGTCCAATTCTTTCAGAAGTAGTGGAAAAGTAGACCAATTTCCTCTTTCTCCTACTTTTGCACCATCCTTTCAGTTGCTCAGCTGCAAAAGGCTGAGAAACTATAGGCAGAACAGACCAAAGAAGCGACCCAGGTTACAAATGACCCAGTTTAACCCAGACAAGTTCCCTGATACAGTTCACCCAGAGTCCCATACCCAGCTATGTCAGCCAACTGGAGGGGTAGCACAGGGACAGAACAACTAGAGCTGGGAACTGCTTTGCCTGACACTGACACCAAAAAATCATTTACATAACTCAAACATAATTAGAGCTAAAAAGAAAGATGGTTATTACGTATCTACATGTGGAAAGGTTTGGCACATATCTTGGTATCTCCTGCTATGGGCAAGAAAAGAAAACTGATTAGAAAGCCAGTTTATGTATTTGATTCAGTTTTGTTGATGGCTACATTTCACATAATCATATTCCTCCTCGGGAAAAAAAAACAAAACAAAACAGAAAAACAGAAACCAAAAACTGCCAACTTTCTCCTGAAAGTGAAAAAGAGGTTTCCAGTAGATCTGTAGGAGAAATAACTCAATCGAAGCCCTTCCACCAACTTGCAACTTCTGTGTTGTGACTTTGTTCGGCATTTGCTTGCTACTATAATACAGCAACAAAAAGAGTAGCATTAAAAGAAAGCAAAAAGGCATCATTTCCACTAACTTTTGGGCTACTTCCAAGATTAAGTATTGAACAGGGTACATCAAAACACTTAATTTCAGAGTCTAGGACACTATGAGAGACAAAAAACAACTATACAGCAGTTTACCGCAGTAGTTGAAAAAAGGAAGCATCTGATAGGAACAATTTTGATGAGGTCCCTCAATTAAAAAAATATATTTTTAATTGTATCATATTTATTTTTTTCTTGCTTTAGTAATACCATTTTCTTTACTTGAACTTTCCTGAAGACAGACAACAAATTGACATAGCTCTCATAGAAGTATACACTTGAACAAAATATCTAATTAGCCTTTCTATTTTTCAGAAGACTCATTAAAAAATCTAAACAGTCAAAAGGAGTACTGCAGACGTCTGCAGTGTAAGTGGACCTCATGCCCTGACAAAAGAGCAGCAGTGGTGGTGCCTATGTCCCCCCTACACAGTCCCCATGTGAAGCTGGTTTCATGGTCTAACAGCAAGTCTGTCACTATTTTTGTTAATAAATCTTATGTGATCTCTATAAAAACCTGAGTACATTATGAGGTTGATTAAATATATGCGAAGCAAGCATTTTTAGGTTCAGCTTCTAAATCAAAGAATATCATAGCAATCCAGGAAATATTTTAAATAGCAAAAATAATTCTTCCAAGTTGAACACTGATTGCTTGCTTAACACTGAAGGAAAGAAGGGAAAATTCTCACTGACACAAAGTGTATGAAAGTCAACACAAGACAGAAAAAAATAATAGGCAGAGAAAATACAGAATAAAAGGGGAGAAAGGTGCTTCTAGAGTGATTGCCCACAGATGATCAGCCTCAGGAAAGGAGACATACTCTGTAACCAGCTCCAAACCGGTATTGTTTTCCAGGTTAAAAAAAAAATAAAAATAATAATAACAGTGAAAGTAACGCAGCTTCACAGTTACGTCCTGCAAGAGGCCCTCAGAAGCTGGTGACCACCTTTGGAAAATCTGTGACTGCAAATGTAAGAGAAGGAATGGCTAACCTCAGAGGCGGTTCTGATGGGAGAATCCCCACAGCTTCTGGCACTCTTCCACATCTACAGCCCCAAGGCACATTCAGGATGGAAAAAAAATGGAGAGGTGCTGATGCTTTAGACCACTGCTCCTACAACATAACAACAGAACAGACAAGTCCTGCACTTGACGTTACAAGAGCAAATGCAAAACTGTTGGAAGGCACTTGTGGGCAGTGAATGAACTAAAGTCTTACAACGATACCAAATGGAGCTCACTTGTAGGTAAGACATAAAAAAAGAACTCCTTATCTGTCAAAGAATCTCATCCACCTGTTAATGTAGCTTTCCAGTTTGGAAGGCCAGTGTAAATAGACATGTGTTGTTAGGTTTACTCACTCGAGGCTGATTTCTCCCTCTCCTTAACAAACAAACAAACAAAAAAAAACTAAGCAAAACACATATAATATTCAGCCGCATTGAAGGACATGCAACTGCAAAGCCTGGGCCTCCGGGAGCACTCCAGGAGGAAAGGCCAGAGCGGTGCAGTGACACCCTGCCCACACCAGCCTCACCTGCAGTTTTTAACCCACCACCTGGGAACAAAACTTTCCAGTTAAGTTGAAGTAGTTTTAAACCTGCTGCTCCTTCTAAAAGGATTTACGAATTCAAGTTATAAACAGTAAAAGGAATGAGGAAAGAAAGATAGCCACAAAATGCCTCCCTCCCCCAACACACACACCCTTCTTCCGAGTTTTATTAGAGGTCTAGAAAGAAGACAAATGACCACGGCAAAGCCCGGCCCGCACCCTCCAGGCACCACAGGGCTCTCGCCACGGCCCGGCCATGGCGGCGGCCCCCGCTC